ACAGCTCTGGGGCAGCGGGGCTCATCCCGGTGCTCCTGCAGCAGCGGGGAAAAGAGGAAGCCGGGCACGAGCGCCTTCGGCGTGGGCAGTGAGGGAGCGGGGGGCAAATTCAGACTGAAAGTAACACCCCGTCGTATACCTAAAGATTAGGAGGGAAAAAAAATAAAGGAGGAAAAAAAAAAAGGAAAAAAAAATGCGTGTTGGCAGGCTGCGGAGCGATGCCGCTCTGGGCATTTTGGGTTTTGCCCTTAATCCACTGCTGAGGGTACTGATTTTTTTTTTTCCTCGATGGCTTCATGCGAGGCGCGAAAATTACCCACTCTGCTCCCCGCGAGCTGAGGCCGGAACGCGCAGCCTCCCCATACGGGACGGCGCGGGGGCGGCGGGGCACTTCGGCTTTTTTTCACCCAGGTGTTCAACGTAGGCACGAAAGCGCGGGATGAGCGCCGAGGAATGAAGTCGTTGAGAAGTCAGGAGGGAGTCCCGAGGTGCCCGCACCGAGGGAGGCGACGAGTTTCGGAGCGGAGCTGGTAACGAAAAAAAAAAAGGAAACCTCCAGTGTTTGCTAAGCCCCCTGAAGCCGCTCAGGGCTTTCCGCCTTCAGGGGAAAAACCCGTTCCCGCTACAGCTCTTAACCCGCCCGGAGTCGATGTGTAAAAATTAAATAAATACGTTAAATAAATGCGATGTATGCAGCTCGACGAACCTCTCGCGTGTTGTGAAAATGCCCAAGTTAATTGTTAGTTCGAAGGAAACGGATCCCAGTGGTTTAAATAAATAAATAAATAGATAAATAAATAAATAAAGTTTGTCCCTTTCTCGGGGTATTTGGGTCTGACTAGATTGTAGGGGGGAAATTATCTCAGGGAGCAGAATGTCTCGCCTGGCCAGAGTAACTGGCGACAAAGCAGATCATGCATTTGCCCCAGAAGCGAAACAGTAGCAAGTGAATTCCGGTTAACATCCGAAAAAAAAAATCCTAATTTCTTTAACCGAGAGCTGGGGTTCGCAGCCTGGCTGCGCAGGCTTAGCTGTTCGCCTCTCACTGCACAGCATCGCCTGCAGCAGGGCAGCAGCAGCTGAGGCAGTTTTTTCTCTAGGCTGTGCTTTTACCTTAAGTTACTCCTCTCCGGTACAGCTCAACTTTCACAGCTGCGCGGAGTTTTCACGTAAGAACTACCGAAATACGAGCACGGAGCCTGCCGCCGTGGTTACTGTGCAGCCTTTGCTGCCCGAGAGCTGCAAGACAGAGTTGTTGCAGCTGGGCTGGGGACACGGAGCTTTCTGTTTGGGGAGCCTTTGCACGGGTTTTAGCACCCCCTCCCCGGCCACCTCCGTGCAGCCCGTTTGGAGGAAGGGGGAAAATCCTCCCCCGCCCAAGCCCGCGATAACGGATCTGCCGAGGACGGGCGGCTCTTTTTTGCCCAGGGAGTGCTGTTTGCCTCACTAAATCGCATTACGAAGCAAAGTGCAAGGGTAGTTAACTTTATCGTCCGCTAATGTAAACAAATAAGAAGCATCCAGTTGCTTGATCTTTATTTAAATATGGCGTTGTTTATCAGTGTCATCCCATGAAGATTAATTAGATACCTTTATTCACAATTTGGCGTCTGACACCCCATTTTAGGAATGCATTATAATCACAAGGTGTTAATTGGGGCCAGTCAGGCACTTATGTTTCTATTAAACAGTGTGAGGACCTTTCACAAGTATTAAGCTT